ATTTGCAGTTACAGCAGCCAAATGAGCATATCTTGGTTTTGGAGAAGAAGGTGAAGGTGATATCTCAGGATGATTCCAAGTGAAAGTGTCCAAATCGAAAATAGACACATCATCTAACACACATAAACCATCATTTGAAGATTTTGAATATCCCATGCCACCAAAAAATACGATTGAATTCTTGTACTGATTAGCGGAATGAAAATATCTAGCTTTAGGTGCTATTTGATCAGGATCTTGAAATTTTGTCCATACATATGTTTCTAAATCAAGTACATATAATTCATTTGTCATTCGTCGAGAAGATACAAGACGTCCCGCGAATAAATATAATCGAGTGTCTATAACAGTTGTAGAGGAACCTACAAGTGGTGGTGGAATATCTCCTGTAGTTAAGTGGGTTGAGGCTGTAAGATCTGATATTGATTGAAGGCCAGGATTCGAAGTCATTTTTATGATGAATAAATGCTTGTTTGTGTTGCTTGATTTTATTTACTCTGAGCCAAATATAAAAAAAAAAAAAAAAGGGGATAAATAACTGGTCGGAACTGTCAAAGTTATTCAAACATGAAAATATTTTATAGGAAAACCGTTCATAACATTTGCTTACTGTTAAACTTTCAAAGTCAGGCACAGATGAGTAAATTTGAACTAATGGTTCAAGGAACATAAAGAATGGAATCGTGTCCAGCGATTCAAGTCGTAAATAGGTGTTGTATTATAATTCTATTATTAATAACGAGTGCTAAATATTTGGTAGTTATTTAATTACACTTGCTTTCTTTCTTTCTTTTTTTCTTTTTTGGAATGCAAACAAATATTACTGTAATACAGTCGTTAAATGGTTTTTTGTCTTGTTACGTATGTTCAGATGAGAAGTAAGTTGTAAATGCTCAAGTGACGAGAAACAGCATGGGACACAACAACCGTTGTTAATGTACAAATTTGAAGGAATTTTTTATTAATAAGTTTATAAAAATTTTTTTTTTTTTTTCGTTCGCGTTGTCGAAATTAAATCTAGTGTATGGACAGAAAGAGAATTAAAAAAGTAGAAAAAGGACAGAATCCTTATAATGAGAGAGCTTATAGGTATAAGTGAAGTGCCGTGCAAAACACAACACGCGACCTAGGAAGAAAATTTCAGAGGAAGCGAAAAAAAAGAAAGAAAATATAGTACAAGGGGGAAGGATTAAAAAAATTTTAAAGTATGGTCGTTTTGAAGTTCATAGAATTATATGTAAAACATACACTAAATTTTTTTCTCAGATGTTTCACGACCACGACTAAAATGAGAAGGAACGACATACAGTCCAACCACTATGAATGCACACCGGGTATAAGGGTGCATTTAGACGAAATTTTATCTACAAAATTTAACCAGCCTTTTTGGAATGGATTGTGCATGTCAATGATAAAAGGAGTATAATTGATTTACAAATTTAATAATATAAATAAGTCAGTCAAAATGACCCAAGCCGAATTGTTTGTCATATGAAAAGGATCGGAAAACCCCTTGCACATGCAGAACATAGATTTAATATCCAAATCGCAAGCTAGGGACGTGCATTTAAAGAGGTTGTTGGTTTGACTGTATTTTCTCCAATCAAATAATCACTACTGATACGGCCAATAATTTCACGGATGGTGAATTTTTTTTGGGACATTGAATCGAGATCCTCCACGTGGCTACGTGACAATTAATAATTAGAAATCACGTGGAAATTAATGATTGTGTCAAAACTTTATGGTGATTGGTACTTTGGGGACGGATTATCGGTTATGTTTAAAAAGTGGTTAATAGATCAACATCTAGTAGACCGTTTATCAATGTAATTTTTTAACTATTTTCCCAATACTTGATACTTTCAGTGTGTCCGTGTTGGGTTTAAAAAGGTGATGTAACAAACTATTTTTTTTTAATTTGTATGTAATAATAGTTTATATAATTCAAAGTTTTAATTAAATTTAAACGCCAATTCTGGATTTCTAAGGAAAATCACGTGTTGTTAGTTTGTTGGATCAACTGGTCGTGTAACGGTTTTAGAAATAATTATTTTTTTTGATTTCGTTTTTCTCAAGGAAAATTTTCTCTCGCCACAGATATTTTTTTTTTTTTTTGTCATGGAACAAATGCAACACGTTATTGATTTTCCGAGAACTAAGCGAAATGAATCAAGTTGTAACACGAAACAAACGTCGGTCGTTAACCCCTCTCCCAATTTTAGTTATCTCTTCAACTCTTTTCCTTCAAATGTAAATAATTCAAACGAAACGACAGCACAAGCAGCAGGTAAAAGTACAAAAGAAAGGGAACGCGCACGACCTAAACAACCAATTAAGAGGCGTAGGACACAATGTGGAACGGAGCAATCAAAGAAGAAACAACCACCAAAAGAAAATAATATTTTGAGATTTGCACCAGAAATTTTCGTGAACATATGTAAATTCCTTCGACCGATTGATTTAATTTCATTAAGTAAAGTTTGTAAATTATATCACAATTATTTATGTTCGGATGATGTACATAGTACTGAAAATATTTGGAAATTTTCAAGAGAGAATCATGAAGGGATGACATTAACACCACCTGAAGGAATGAATGAACGGAAATATTGTATGTTATTAGTTGAAAGAGGATGTCAAATCTGTAAAAAACCCAAGATTAGAAAGATTTATTGGGCTTTCCGAGTCAGGTGTTGCCGAGAATGTTTATTGAAGCATACCAAAAGTGAATATCGGATTCTTCAAGAATTAAAGATATCACCCGTGATACTTTATGGACTCGCCTATACGACTCATTGTTTTTGGAATAAATGGAATGGCGAATTCCCCGTGAAATTTTATTGGTTATCCCAGGTGGAGAAGATGGAGAGAGAATATCAATCTTTGCCTCCAGATCAACGTAACAGATGGGTCATGGACATGATGAGAAAAGGTCAAAATTTAATGACGGATGTTAATATGCGATCTTAGGTGTGATATAGTAAAGAATAACTTGTATATATATATACCTTTTTAAAGTTTTTTATTTTTTTTTTATTTTTTTTTTTCTTTTTGAAAACAAATTCCTTTTTCATAAATTTAGTACCTTTTATTTTTTTACTTTGTTCACAAATAAATCAATAATGTCAATGCTAGAAAATTCAATCACCAATTATTTACTTGCGCGTCAAATCGTTGTGCGGAATTTGCGGAATTTTATTAATATTATTGTCATTATTATTAAAAAAAAATATATCTGAAGAAAAAAGATAAATAAAATAAAGATGTTTGAATTTGGCTTGTTTTTTTAGAAATCACCTTCTTCATGAATAAGTTATTTATTTGGGTTATGGTATTATTTTTCAAATATGGTTCATCTTTTAATTTCAACATAGGTGATTTTAATAATAAGCGGGCGGTTAAACATGACTTGAATGAAGGTTTTTTTTTCTTTTTCCTTTTTTTTTTTTTACACGAGTTTCAATTGTTTATGTTTGTGAAAAATTAATTCGATTTTGGTTTAGGTTTATTTTGCAAACCGTTTTTCTTATTGTATTTGTTATTTACCTTTTCATCATTAATGCAAAGAAAAGCATCAGGATCATTACACAGTCACCCATGGCAAAAAGATATTCGTACGAGAGGAATAAACAAAATCACAAGCCGGTAAAGAAAAATTACAAAAGTTGTTGATTATTTTTTTTTTTTTGCATGAGCAAAAATCATTTCATTACAAAAAATAAATGTGTTTTAAAAAAAAACAACAAAAAAAAAAAAACGGTTTTATTTTTTTCCTGCATGGTACGAATTGTTAACCTAGAAAAGATCTCAAAACTTATAAGTTTTGACCCCTGGCATAATCGTAAATAAATAATGGCATGATAATTTTTTTTTTTTAATTAAAAATAATTAATCTATTCTTGGATTGGGAAAAAAAAAAAAAATAAGTAAATAAAGAATGTTGGGTTATGTTAGGGATAAAATAAGCCACTTTAATTTTTTTTCAATAACTCGAATTTTTTCCTTTTTTTCCTTTTTCAAATTCATGCGCAGTAGTTCTTTAACAGTTATATTCTATGGTTAATTTGGTGATCTGCGAACAATTATGAAGGTCTGTCTATAAATAGGATCCTTTTATAAGCTGTACCGCCAAAACATGTTAAATGCAATATAAATATAAATTAAAAAACTAAAAAGAATATTAAAAAAAAAAAAAAAAAGAAAGAAGAAGAAGAAAAAAGAAGTTTTGATTATGGAATTCAATAAGTGTCACAAGTCACGATGATTTTTCAAAAAAAAAAAAAAACACCTCAATAATGCATGCGATGTAATTTTTTTTTTTCGCATTGACAAATTAGCACCACTTTATATCTTACACATCACGTTGATGATAATATGCGTGCTACAAACAATTTCATCCTATCATTGAATGGTTAGGTTTTGAACTCATCCCTTTATGTAAAAAAAACTTAAGAGGAAAGAAAAAAGGTTGTGTTTACGCGTCAATAAAAAAACTAATAAAAATTATAATAAAATAAAAAAAATAAAATGTGTTTGAAAAAGCAAATTGTCGTTTTATTTATTTTAAATAATCATTCCTGTCCCACGAGAAAATAAATTTATTTTTACGTATATAAAATGCTGTTGTTATCCTTACGTTAAATCCCCTTTATTCCCTTTTTTTTTTTTTCTTTTCCCTTTTTACTTTTTCTTTACTTTTTTTTTTTTTTGTAAAAAAGAAAAAATTAATTAAAATAAATAAAAAAAAGAAACCAAAAAATTTTTCTCTATAAATTTGATCAAAAATCTTAATTTTTTTTTTTTTATAAAAACTTTCATTCAATCATTTTGATCGTAGAAATAAAAACAAAAAATATAAATAGAAATAGAATTTCTTTTTTTTTGAACTCCGTGAAAAAATCATTCGTTTTTTCTACGAAAATTACAATATAACGTTAAAAATACGTTCTCTCTCATATTCTTTTTTTTTTTTTTTTTCTTTTTAATATATAAAAAAAATGTCATGGGCGAAAATCATCGGAAATTTCTTTAGTGATGACAACTCGTCTTCTAAAAACGCTCGTAAGATATCCAATAATGATAATAATGATCATGATAAGAATAATGGTAACGATAATACCACATCAAAAGAAACTGCGCCACTTCCCGATCCGTTGCCATCAATTCCTCCCAACTCAACACCAATTCCTACTTCTCAGGCTCAAGTTGATTCTTCCTCACAGTACTCCGCAAGTGATATCCCTCAGCAGTTGGTCGAGGAAAATGAATTCTTATACCTTCAACTACCCGAGGATGTTAAATGTGTTTTGGATAAATTGCGTGTAATCCAATACTCGGAAAAATCCATCATGTTTGATCAACAAATGCCAAATGGTGAATGGCAGGTAATGTTGAAATGATCTCTTTTTCTCATTTTAATTTTTATGTACAATTCACTAAACTACTTGTTTTCTTTTGCAGAGCCCATTTGCCACCCTTGAAGCCGCCTTGATGTCGATCCTTTTATTGACTCCGACATTGTTGCTTTCCAACGCTCTTAAAACTCCATTTAAAGACGATGATCACATAATTGATTATGTTGAGGTTCCAACTTCCGAAAAATTTACTCCTTCATCATCAACATCCACCCCCTTACATCAGATTTCATTTCTTGACCCTCTTGAAAATAAAAGAGCAAACTTTTATAAGAATCATAGAAATAATTCTTCAAGATCTTCTTATATTTCTTCTGAAACTTTACACACTGAATTTTCTTTAAAAAGTGACACCACGTCAATTTCCTCTACTAAAAACTCTTCTTTATGTAAAGTTTTAAGTGCTTCTTCTTTATTCACTTACATCATGCGTTCGATATTATCGATGCATAATGAAGCTTTAATATCTTGTCTCATAAATAGAGAAATGTTGGATTATTATAATTCTTTAACTAGTCGCGTTTCTGAAGAGGTTGAAACCATTTTGTCTCAAATTCATAGAATAAAGTCTCAAGGATGTGAGTCCCACGCTCAGGTACGTCAAGCAATGTCACGTGATCCGTTTCGATTTTCGTCCCTCATAATTTTTTTTTTTTCTTGGAAAAGAATATTTATGATAAGTTGATATCACATTCGGATCGACTTGTCGATGCGTTAAATTTGTTTGTGAACTTTACTCACAAACACCTTCCTGTCGTCTATGAAGAACGTAAGCATTAACTGAAAAAAGAAAAAATTGTTTCAATTTTTTTAAAAAAATCATTTACTTAAAAAATACAAACAAAAACAAACAAAAAAAAAAAACGTAATTTGTGTAGCATCGAGATTGGAATCAACAAATGAAAGAATGTCTAACAAAAAGTAAATATCGACAACTTTCCTCATGTAAATTTATATTGTTTATTTAAATTCTTTGTAACGATAATACTTATTATTATTGTTATTGTTATTGTTACTAATTTTTATCTAAAAGGAAAAAAAGCACATGTGAGTTTTATTGTTGTTGTTTTCTTTATTTACAATTCGAAAATTATGGATTGATACTAACAAAAGTTTTTTTAAAAAAAAAAAAAAAAAATTTTAGTTGGAAAGAAAGTCTTGAGCAGTCTCACGTCCATTAAAAGAAGATCGACATCGTTAAAAATTTTTGTACCATCCGCGTCGGAGAATGTTAGTGGCTATAGAACTCGAAACGTATGTAATCGTGTTAATTTTTTTTATGTCGAATTCAATGCACCATCTTCCTCATGTGTATTTCTTTCGCGCGTCACGTGACTAGCAGCGAAACAAAAGTATTGGGTCAAGCTCCATAGTTTCCAAAAAATCTTCCGCCTCAATTTCTGTGACCTCAAATCATCAAAACCCACGCAAACTTCACCTTCCATCTTTTCCACGTAAACATAACAAAAAAGAACCATATCAGGCGGACTATAATTATAACGAACATGGTGGTGATAGTCCTTCGCAAAGTGTACCAAGTTCACCAGGTTATTCAATTAAAAGCAATTCTCGATTTAAAGAACAGTTAAAGGGTACCTCTTCAAAAATATTTCCTGGTATACTATTGAGTAAAGGTAAATAACACAAAAACAAGAAAAAAAAAAAAATTTAAATCATGATCAAATTAGGTTGATTAAAACTTCGTATTGTTAGGTCGAAGGCGATTTTCGGATGTTTCGGGCACTCCTCCTTTACGAAAGTCGATCTACAACATTCCTAATACAAAGTCATCCGCATCCTTGGTAGAATCCGATGCAATTAGTAATAAAGATGACATTGATGTTATTTCATCGTCACGTTCACGTCGAAGTTCAAGTTCTAGCATAAAATCATATATTCTTAAACACGTTAATCCATTATCATTATCTTCAAAAGGAAAATCTTCAAATGTATCGGAAACTAATAATTATTGGCCCGTTACAGAAGATGCAACATTAAATTCTTATGAATATTTTCCCCATTCATCGAAAATTTCTAGTAGATCACCTTCATTTAGTGATAAAAAACATAAATTACACAAAAATAATAGTTTTACCGATCTAAGGAACTTAAAGAAAGTGTGGACGGACGCAGACAAAACCAATAATGAAAGCGGTAATTCTACATCACATTATTTGACTCCACATATTGAAGATGATGGAGAAAATTCTATAGATGATAAAGAACGGTTATTTTCTGCAACTAATTCGGAGGGAAACGAAAATAGCCAAAAACTTCGTGAACAACTTTTCCGAAGGATCGTTACGAAAAAAAGGTAATTATTTGAAATTTAAGTTTTGCGGTGCATTCTAATAGTTTCTTAATCGTCGAGCTTCCCTCCTCGTTCACAGTTCGAATAGTTTAAACGCTAAAAAGAAGCCGAGTCTTAGTAATTTGATTAAGATTCCTCAAGTATTTACTCGTCTTAATGAGGTAACAAAAAATTTCTGTATTTTAAGTTTCAATTACCGCAAAGAAATTAATAATCTAATATTTATAGGAAGTAATTGGTAAGTCGGAAGTTTTTCAAAATATGGAAGACGGTAAATTGAAGGGAATTGATGACCTTTACAATGATGATCTCGTTATTGAAACGGTTGACGGAAGGTAAATTGCTCTTTTTTTTAAAAAAAAAAAATAAATAAATAAAAATCGTCTCATTGAATGATACTAATCCAGCTCATAATTTTTAGTCCGCAAATTCTTGCTGGAAAATTGGATAAATTATTGTCAAGATTAGTTGACGAACAAGGTACCTAATTTGGAAAAAAAAAAAAAAGGCCCAAATATTGGTTAGCTAATATGAACCATTTATCTTATAGATGCGGAATTTGTCGATTGTTTCTTGCACAATCATACCTTTTTTATGTCATCCGAATCATTATTAAATTTCATGATTCAAAGATATCGTAACGTAGACGAAGGTTACCATCACCATAAAACGTATGTGAATTTGTTTTCCTTATATAAATAATCACGTGATTATACTGATTCCGGTAAAAATTCTTCTTTAGTATAATATCTATACTTGATCGATGGGTAACAATCCAACCACAAGATGTTCGGTTTGACACAAACTTACGTGATAGTATGCGTGCGTTTTTAACGGATGAAGTAAAGGAAGAGGAGTTTAAGTTGGAAGCCAGCAAGATAAAAACCATATTAGAGCTACAGGTTAGTTTTTACTAATCAACCTTTTTATTTTGAATGTCCCCTGACATCATTTGTATTATTGCAGTCTCTAATTTCGATGGACAGAATGATGAATCAAAAGAAAAATCCGATAATTGAATCCGCTGAAGAGTCGAATGATAATATCAAAATCACCAATTCTGATAATGTACCACGGCCAATCTTATCGGATTCTTCTCCATTATTGGAATTTGAATCAAAGAATATAGCAAAATATTTAACATTAATGGATTTTGCTATATTAAAATCTATAACATTCTTTGATGTTACGATCTGGTGGAGAAAAAGGAAAGCACTTGAAACTGGCGTAAACCTTGATGCCGTTCTCGAAGGAGAAGGACAACATTCTAGCCATATTGATAGTCATTTGGACGTTTTTACAAGGAGGAGCAATATGGTAAATTAATGATTTAAATCATTTCTTTAAATTGTAAATCAAGTTTAAATGTTTATCTTATTTATATCCGTAATTACAGATAAGTCATTGGATCGCGCATGAAATTTGCAGCTTAAAGACGGTTAAAGCACGACGAAGTATACTTCACAAATTCATTGAAACAGCACGAGTACGTATACATTTTTTTGTCTTGATGAGCGTTAATGTAATCACGCGTCATAATCCTTATTTTTTTTTTGGTTATTGTGATTGTTAGTACTGTCGGGAGTACAATAACTTCCATATCGCATCATGTATTGCATTGGCATTGAATTCCCGTCCGGTTCAACGGTTGATAAAGACATGGGAATCTCTTTCACATCAAGATATAATAACTTTTCAAAGTATTGAAGAATTAATTGATCCTTCAAGAAATATGGCAAAATATAGAAAATCATTGGCAAATGCTAAGACTCCCGTCATACCGTTCTTCGGTAAGTATGAAATGTCTTTAATCAAATCTATGTGCACGATATATTAACCAAATATCATCACTTTTATACTCGAAATATAGCAATCTTTCTTAAAGATTTAACATTTATAATTGAAGGAAGTTCAACATACCTTTCTCCTAATCATTTAAGAAATAAATTATTACTACGCATCCCTTCAGCATCTTCAACATATCCCGAATCAGGAGAAACTTCACCTATTACACCTACCTCCCCGTCATTCTCTCAAAATTCCTTTAGCTCACAACAACAAATTTCACCATTATTATTTTCGTCAACACAAATGAAAATTTCATCAACAGTGCCGAACTCAATACCAATATCACCATTACCTTCACCTCTTCCAATGATATCACAAGGACCATTAATTAATTTTGAAAAATTTAGGTTTTTATCAAAGAATATTCTTAATCTAAAACGGTATACCTCCGAATCATATCCTTTCACAAACCAATTATCCGGACCCCCAAAAATTTTATCTTCATTAACGAAATCGTTACCTTCAATATTTGTTCAAAATGATTTAATTAACACACATAATTCATTATTAATAAATAATTTAAATAGTAGCGGAAGTATTGATAATGGAGTTGGAGGGAATAGTAATAATAATAATAATAATAATGGAGGTGGAAGTAGGCTTTCTCCTCTTGATCATATTGGTGAAGTTATAGAAAGAAGAATGTTTGCTGCTGCTGGAAATATTTTTGGTGGCAACGTTGCTTCGATTGCTATGTTAGATGGTGGTGAATTGGAGGCTGATTTAATGGTTCTAAGTTTAGAAGCTGAGACTACGGGTAATGTTATATAATGGGTATTATTCTTTTTCGATTTTTTTTTTTGTACAATTGTAACATATTGTTCTTTGAATTATATTTTTATTATATATATATATATATACATGTATTGTATGTATTATGTATGTATTTATGCATGTTTTGGACCTGGATTTTTGTTTTAATTCATTCCTTTAATCGTGTCTTTATCTAACCTTTTTTTTTATGACAAAAAAAAAAAAAGAATGATAATAATAATGAATTTTTGTAATATAATCTTATAAAAAAAATATATATATATATAAAAATGACATCAAAAGGATGATGGATTAATATCAGTAATTTAGTTCGAAATAAAAATTTCAACGACTTCTTTTGCACTTTTATGCTAAATCCAAGTAGCTCGTTACTGGTGAGTAAAATTTATTCGTCGCTTTCTATGTTTCTAGGGTTGACAAAAGTTGAATTTATTATTCACAACTTGAATAATATTGATTTTTATATCATTCGACATGTATACAATAATTCCGATATTGTTAAGTATTGGTTCTTTTTCAATAAATTTTTCTACGAAAAATGGTTTGTTAAGTTGATAATTAAATTCCGGGTCTTGGTTTAACTTGAGCGAATATAACTTGCCTGTAAATATATTGTATTTATTATCCGTAAGAAAGTATAAAAATATATATAATATATGTTTCATTTTATTTACTCTTAATAATTATGTAACTTATAACGGTCAACTGTAACTTTTTTATGATTTGACGAAAATGGTATACACATTTGTTGTTTATGGTCGTAAGACTCGTCGTGTTCAATTAAAAAGTCTGTTGTCGCTAGAGGAAATAAACTTTGAATACAAATATTCACGATATTGGAAAGAATAGGGATAGAGTATGAATGGACAGGGTGAATATCGAGTCGTCGGCTGTGAATATCTTTTCCAGTTACTCAACGAATTGAAGGGTCACAGACATAATGATTGAACATTTCTTCCCTTTTTTTTTTATCATTTAAGAGGTTTGTGATAATGATGTAGATTCCATTCGTGAATCAATTCAAGAATCGGAGAATTCAATATGTATGTTTTACTCAAATATGACTAATAATTTCCCCTATTTCGCCAGGAAGTTGAAAATTTCGGTATATGGGTTGATTGCTAGGAAAATCAGGTTCCGGGAATTTTTTAGCAAAATTGAGATTTTTATTGCATTTTAGTTTTTGATGTTATTAGATTAAAATGTATTAAGCTCATAATTTTAGTCAAAAATTTCTCGGAACCTGATTTTCCTAGAAACCCTCCCATATGATATTATCATCACGGATTAGAACAATCTTTGTATAGATCTATTAAATTTGGTCGCTTGCTTATATATGTTTTGATTATCTAATCACAAATATTTAGAAATTGTAACCATCATTTTTTTATACAATAAATCATATTAAAAAAATAAAATTTCAAAAAATAAATATAAAATCATATTTACTATAAAATATAATTAATATATATATATATATATATATATATATTTTCTTATTATTATTGCTTAAAATTAATTATTACCAAAAAAATTATCAAGTATACATTGCTTTTCAATTCTACAACTATAACTTTTATTATGAAGATATAAACTTAAAATTATTATCTTAATGCTCAAAAAATTTGATAAATGCTTCAAATCTATTACTGTTTATTTTATTGTTATTAATGATATTCTTTCATCTGATGAATCTTTATCCTCAATCTCTATTGCTTTAAATCATACAAGATTTACAATTTTTTCATCTTCTTTTGTATAAATTGAAGAATTAAAACTGTTGCAAATATTCTTGTATTTTAATTGCTTCTCACAAATTATTAATAATGTATTTCATTTTTTCAAAATCAAATCCTTGCATATATTTTACAAAATCTACTGAATACATATTATTATCCTTCATATTTTATTTGTAAATAGAAGAATATTAGTTTTAAAGATAACAATTCTAAGTAGCTTATTTTTAAGATAAAAAATTTAAAGTAAAAATTTTGAAATTAATAAAGTAAATACTATAAAATTAATAAATTATATGCTATATAAATTTAATCCATTTTGAAGAATTAAAAAATCATAAACTTTCTAATCTATTTCTTTATCAAATTATTATTTATAAAATTTTCATTGATATTTAACTTTAAATCTATAAATAATCCTAATAGCTATACTGTAAAATAAACTATTATATTAGGTAAATATAATATTTGTAAATTTAATATCAAGTCTTTTTTTTATTTATTTTATTTTTTTAGTTTAATTATTTTATACTTTTTTTTTGCTTGAAAAATAAGATAGTTTAATAACTTTTTTTTATTTGAATTTTAATAGTATTATTGCTTTTATTAAATATTTTTAGGTTAAAATAAGATCTGCATTATTAATTAATAATAAATTTTTTATTTATCATACAAAACTAGTTATTAGAATATTAAAATCATTTATAAAAATTTATTCATATCTAAACTTTTAAGTTAAATAAATTATAAAAAATATTAATTTATTAAAACTTTTAAAATAATGTAAATTAAATTAATTTTTAATTATTAAAAAAAAGAAAGCTTATGTAAATTAGTAGAATTAGCATATAAAAAATTTAAGCCTGATTTATTCTAAATTAAAAATAATTGATTTTAATTTTAAAAATAATATATTTTTTATAAACTATATTTTACCTTTATAATCAGAAAATTTATTTATATTTAATATTTAATTTAATTTTATTTAAAAAATAAATCAATTTTTATTTGCATTATAAATATAATTTATTAGAATTTTACAATTGTGAACATTTCTCAAATAATGTATCTAATAGTATATTAATTATTTACCTGAAAAATTAATTTTATAAATTGATTCTATTGTTTAAATTTATATGCTAAACTATTAGTATACTTTATTTCATTTCAATTTTCAATAATTTTACAAATTTTAAACTCTTTTTTATAATATTTTATATTACTTAAAAAAAATATTATTAGTTATATTAATTAGTTCAAATTTGTATATCTTTATTAAACTTTAAAAATAAAATAATACATTAATAAAAATTATAAAATAGTTGATTATTTAATAGAATTATAAATCATCTATTTTAATTTTATCATAATTTGATAATAGTTAACTACTTAATATTATAACTAAAATATTTCTTTTTTTACTTTATAATAGAATTATATTTTTATTTTATTTATAATATTATAACAAAAAAAAAAAAGAATTTTAATAATTATTTTAAAAAAATATAAAAAAGAAAATTTATTTATTATTAAATTTATATTTAATAAATTTTAAAATATTATCATAATAAAATAGTATTTTAATATCAAATTGTTTAATATTTATATATTTTTATCATTAAGTTTAAAATCAAAATTTTATTAGATTTAACTATATAAAATTTATCATTATTTAAATTAAATAAATTATATTTATTATTATATAATATTAAAGTTTAATAGTATAAATAATTAATAATTATATAATTATATAAATTTAAACAAATTATATTAATTAATTAGTAATTATATAAAGATATTTATTATATATTTATTATTTATTAAACTAAAAATCATATATTTATTATATATTTATTATTTATTAAATTAAACTTTAAATAATGGTTATTAGAAAATACATTATATTATCCCTTAAACTATAGAGCAGGCAAATTTGCCTGTGAATCTCTATAGTTTAAGGGATAAAAAAATTTTTTATATTTGAGAAAATCAAATAAAATATAATGTGATAAAAATTAAAATAATCATATAAGAGATATTTTATATAAATTTAAATTTAATTTAAATTTGATAAATCTGATTTAGATTAGATTTGATTAGAATTATATTTGATCTATTAGATTTAGATTTAGATTTTAGATCTAAATTAATTATTTACTATTATTCTTCTTAAATAATATATTATTATTTTTTTTTTGAATGATTCATTATCATTTTTGTTAAATAATTCATAATTAAAATATTATTTCTTATTTAGATTTAGATTAAATAAGATTTAAATATAAACTAATTTATCAGATTTAGATTTGAGATTTAATCTATCAATTTTAAATTAAAATCTGAATTTAATCAAATTCATTAAATTCAGATTAGATTCAAATCTATAAAAATAAATATTAGATTAGATTAAATTTTATTTAAATCTGATCAGATTTAATTTTACAGAATTCTAATAAGATGTAATTATATAAAATAACTATAAGAAAAATAATAATAGTAATAAAATAATACAATTTTTAGTGAAAAAAATAATGATAGAAATACTGAATCTATTTTTAATCATAATATTATTATTTTCTAATTTAAATCATTATTTATATTACTAAATTAAATAATAAAATATTAATTTAAAAGTATAGTATAAGACAAAAAATTTAAAATTAAAATAATTTTTTACAAAAAATAATTATATAAAATTTATATAATTTGAAGCTAAAAATTAATTTATTTTATTAATATTTTTAATATAAAATGTGATAACTATTTTCTTTTATAATAAGCTTATAAAGGTATTTTATTGATTATACTAATTTAATTATAGTCAGTTTAAGAATATTATTTTATTTTTTGACTATAAACTGACATAAATCACTAATATTTTTTAGCATTTTTTTTTTACATTTCTTTTAACAATATTTCAGAGATTTTTTATTAAATTTATATTAAAACTATTAGAAGACCATTTGATAATTCTAGAAAAATTTTCTTGTTATATCTTTTAATTGAATTTATCTTAAAAAGTTTAGGAAAAGAAAAGATAATAATAAGGAAATATAAAAAAATAATTAATTATGAATAGTATAAAATAAAAAAAGTTATACTTATTAATATAATAATTATATTTAATTTTACATTATTTGAATTGACTATAAATTTATTGAGTTATACATATTTTATTCTATTCAATTTTTATCCTAAATTATAAATTATAAATAATGATTATTATTATTATTTACATTTACCTTTTACCCTTAAAAAAAT